ACGCTTTGGTATGAACTTTTTGTCTTTTTGCATTGCTAAAGGGATGCGAAGTGACCCAAATTTCGTCATTTGGGGAATAAAACACTTGTCGTTATGCTTTGTCAAACTGCCTTTTATGTTGATCCTGCTTCATTTCCATACTTTCTTCTTTTTCCTTTGCAATAGTTGCTAATCGCTTAAGCTAGAGGGGTGATTTTGGGAGTTATCGTTTTCGACCACAGCCTTCAAATAGGGAACGACGTCGTCGACAGTCCTTAGCTGTTTTCCAAACATTAGGAATCCTGGTGTATAACCTGTAGTGTCACAGACGGCCTCATTCATAGCGAAACGAATAACTGGGAGTTACGAATGCCAGTTGTTATGCGCATCTTCTACAATGATTGCAAGACGAGGTTTTAGATCTCTGTTTTCCGTTTCACAGGATTTGATTGAAGAAAGCAAACTCGTATTAAGTTTTGAATGATATTTAATGCACAGCAAACTTCTACCAATGCACACTAATAAATTGTGTTCCATTACTGCTGCTGATTTTTCGTGGTATACCATGCCGCATGAATACTTCTTTAATGAGGGTTATGGCGCTGTCGCGTGCTGTATCTTGAGTAAGAGAAAATAATTCAACTAATCGCGTAGCAATGAGTTGAATGTTACTCATCGCGTAGCAATGAGTAATAGTCTTAGGCAATGAAGACCCATTTCTTACAGTGTTAGTTTGTGGCAATGATCCAAATAAGTCTACAGAGATGATCTCAGAACACTTAGAATATCTTAGCAATCTACAGAAATGATCTCAGAACACTTAGAATATCTTAGCAATCCAGCTTTAATGCACACCAAACTTCTACCAATGCACACTAATAAATTGTGTTCCATTACTGCTGCTGATTTTTCGTGGTATACCATGCCGCATGAATACTTCTTTAATGAGGGTTATGGCGCTGTCGCGTGCTGTATCTTGAGTAAGTGAAAATAATTCAACTAATCGCGTAGCAATGAGTTGAATGTTACTCATCGCGTAGCAATGAGTAATAGTCTTAGGCAATGAAGACCCATTTCTTACAGTGTTAGTTTGTGGCAATGATCCAAATAAGTCTACAGAGATGATCTCAGAACATTTAGAATATCTTAGCAATCCAGCTGGCTTTTGGTTGGTAGCTAAATACGTCTGCATTCAGGACAGCTTTTTATGTAACCGGATATATATTTTTCATACCAGTCCAAAAGTAGCTACTGGCAGTTCTTTGAAATGCACCTTCCTCTCCATAATGTCAAGCCATTGGCCTGTCATGGTGCTTTCACATGATGTATTCGCGCTGGGCGGTTAGAATGACCTCTTCCGAATCAGAGTCAATGACGTATCGGCAGAGAACACCTTGATTAATTAAAAATCCACTTTTAGTCCAGTTGGCATATTGTTCAGTTCTATAAGAGGATTCGAGACTTTCGATAATTATTTTTAAATTTTCATCTTAAAGTTGGGATTTGCGCATGTCTTTTGGACTCTCGCAAGGTAAAACTTCGTTTTCGGAAATTGGGCGGGACAGCATGTCGGTGACGACGTATGCATTCTAGGTATGTATTGTACTTTCACGTTGAAAGACTGAATTTCAAATGCTCATCTAGCAAGTTGTTTGGTTGGAGACTTGAGGATCAAGAGCCATTTTAAAGATTTATAATCAGAGGCCACATTTACTTCTGATCCTTCAATGTAACCGCGAAATTTCTCTAGGGTCCAGACGACAGTGAGGGATTCTCTTTCTGTCGTCGAATAGTTTCGCTCAGCCGGAGAAAGCAGTCCGTTATATTCAATATCGATAGGATACTCTTTTGACCTTTCCCATGAAACAAAATGGCTCCATGAGCATAATTGCTTTTATCATTTTGAAGATTATAAGGTTGAGTTTCATTTGTCTGCTTCAACACAGGAGAGGTTATGAGGCAATTTTTTAGAGTTACTAATGCTTTTTACTAGTCGAAACTCATTGGATTTTCTTTGCTAGATCTTTAAGGGGTCGTGATATTTCCTCGAAATTTTGCATATATCTTCTAAACCCAGAACACATTTGAAGGAAGGATTGGAGTTTCTTGACGTTTTTCGGAGGTGGAATTCTGTATAGAGGGAACATTTTCTGGATGAACCTTCGATTCCTTTTTGTGTGATCCAAAATCCCAAGTGTTTGACACGACACGACAATAAGCGAAGTGGCACTTTTCTCTATTTGCGTGAAGTTTGAAGAGCAGTAGCCTTTCGAAAATAGCTTGGAGATCGGAAAGTTGTTTCTAGAATGATTCTGACAAAATGATTATGTCGTCGAGATAGGTGAGGGTTAGGATGTCTTCAAAGCCATTGCGGAAACGGTCTATCAATCTCTGGAATGTTGCTGGGGCATTCCGCAGGCCAGAGGGCATTCGTAAGATATTTTTCGAAGGGACACACAAATGCTGAGTTGTCTTGATCATCAATATGAACCTTCACTTAACCTGCAGCCATTTGATGTCTGATTATTCTTCCGCCTTTGGCAGATAGAAGGTGCTATTGCCACGCGCCCAGGAAAAAAAATAAAAAATAACTGGATACTTGAAATTTGTAGAATTTATTTTTGCTTGAAACTTATAAAAATAACTTGATGTTTGAAACTTTTAAAAATAACTCGAGCCTTGAATTTTGTAGAATTTACTTGATGCTTAAATTTGTAGAATGAACAAGCGTAAGATTTTTCATGGCCGATGCTGTGTGTGGAAATTATGTAAAACTTATTGAATTTCGTTAATAAAATGTTGTTTTGTGTTGTTAAGTAGTTAACTGTCTTGGACTCTAATATACGTTAATGATCATTTCTATCGATTCAAGTGTTATATGAATTTTGACTAACGATACAAGCTCTCCCAATCAGAACATGGAAATGTCTTGAATCATCATATCACATTTCAGTTATGAAACTTGAATGAGTGGCTCCCGGTAAGAATTTTAAATTTTATTTTGTGCCCTCGATGACCAAAAGGTTAACGACCTCTGGTTTATAGTATCAGGAGCGGATACAGCATTAGTATTTTTTATTAATAGACTAATTATATAAGATCACTTTTTGAATAATTTAAAAATAAAGTTTTCACAATTAGATGATATTAATAAATTTTTAAGCCTAGTATTTTGGAAAAATGATTGATTAAATTTAAAAGCAGAGTTATTTTACTTCCACGATCATCTGAGTTTTATCTTAAGTATCTTTTAAATATTTGTTGTCAATATAAGCAGGTCTTCTCTCTTTATCCAAGAAAAGTTTTTAATCCTTTCACGTAGCTAAAAGTCACCTCCTGGAAACATAAAAGACAGTTGTCGAATTGGTACAAAGTTTATAGCGCGAGATTTCAACTTTACTTTCCCTAATTATACTGCCGAATACTTTAAACTTTTATGTCAGTTTCACGGAAGTCAATTTTAAAAAGTACTTTCGTTTATTGTTTAAATTTACTCATCTTTAAGTAAAGTAGAATTCCAAATATCCCGACTAACTGGGATCACACATTTCCAGATATTCGAAAATTTCAGAACTGGGTTGTCTTTTTTTCTGCAGGTAAAGTACTTATTTAATGTAATGCAGATGAGGCAATTATTTTCTGTTTATCTTTGTTTATCATGTAATTTTAACAAAGACAAAAGTTAAAAAAGGTAAAACAGTATTCTGCAAGGGTTGGAGTTGAGGTTCTATTCCTTCGAGCGCATAACAACAAATACTGGTCATCAGCGCTCGTCGTAGCGGTTGTTCGTCCTTGGCTGAACCTCCTGGATGCCGAATCTGGGGTTAGAAATTGTTGCCAAAGTCACCCACGGAAAGGACTCACATTTAGCCCTCTAGCCACTTCTGTCTGACTTTGTGCCGCTTATAGTTTCCCAACAGCTCTTCATCTCAGTTCTTCGGGCAAAGGATGCCTGGAGGTCATTGATACGAATTAGCTATCCCAGATTTTTTATCTCAGTATCACAGCGAAATTTTCAGGTCTTCTCTGAAGCATGTAATTTTATGCTCCTCGTAGATTGTGTATTTCGATTTCAGTGCCATTAATTTGCATATTGCAGTTTTACCCAGCAATTTCTATTAGATAGCATATTCGAATTTTATACGGATTCGCTTATTTGTGAACGAGTTATCGCTATTTTGTGATTTTTCTTTAAATTTTGGAAACTAGTATATTTGTTTAAGGAGATGTAAATGATTCCCTTTTGTGATCGTCTTCAAATGGAGATTTGTGAATGAAATGTTTCTCCCGATTAGATGTTTTTACATCTACACCGGACTGTAACCTATAGCACACAGAAGAAGTGAATGTAGCATCACTGTTCTTGCTTATTATATTTTCAGTAACGGAGAGTATGTGTTACGACTAGGAATGGCCCACAAAAGGACCAGATCCAGCAATCATTATGCCTCAATTCAATAACTTACAGTAAATAAATAAAGAGAAATTTTTCTTTATAACTCTTTCCAATATTTTAGGGGTCTTCTGTGAGAATTTCATACTTATAATAATTTTACTTCTGTTTATCATATTTTTATTTTCACATTTTTTGCTTCAACGTTACTCATCTCGTATATTTAGTACTTTTTTAAGTACCACCTATCTCTCCTTCAAGTAGTCGGACTCTAACTCGAAAGCATTCGTTATAAATGGCCGAGCGCTTTGGTCATTTAGGTGTCTCATCACCGACAACATTGCTAGATCTGGTCCTCTTGAGTCAACACGTTCTTAAACAAGTAATTATTCTTATCTTCTCTTTGCCAGGGTGCACTGCAAAGGATAGACTGTTATTGCACCCTTGGAGGGGGGCGAGGGACTACAGTTACAGCTAAGCAAATCTTGTACCCTTAATAATTGTAGCATGCGTTCTAGGATTATCAGTCTGTCAGACTGCACCATTTTAAAAGTATAGAAACACCTGTACAGGAAATGCCATTTCCTATACTCGTTTATTAGAAACAATAAAAAATTCATTCAAACCATGGGCATTTTCACATTTTATTTCCAAATTTACAATTGATATAAAAGATAGTGGTATTTATTTTTGGTACAATAAATAAGCATTAATATGACATATTGATATGCAGTAACAGGGTTAGAGGAGCACGGTAGTTTTCTTTGATGAAAATCCAAATTTTAAACATGATTATCACTGGAAAGATGAAATAAAAGAAAAAAGTGATGACTTTAAAAAGATGACGACAGTAATTTTTTATACCCATACAAAATGTAATAACAATGCTGCAAAAAAGTAAAGAATGAAATAGGAAGTAATTCATATAGGAAAGTGTAAGGACACATCCAATTTACGAATTTCAAAGAGAATATAGAAAACTGTAGTTTATTGTTTCTATAGCGCAGTGGCAGAGCTTTTGTTTATAGAAGCCACCCAAGCTTGATTTATGTTCAAAGCAGATCTTTCCAAAGAAATAAGTTTAAATTTCAGTGTTCCCAAACATCATGAGCAATATTTAGACTGAATGAACTAGTTTTCCTTTGGATATTTTGTGAGGTCACATTAACTACATAAATAATTATGTAGTTATTTCAGGTTAGTTTCTATGTACTCGAATCCAAATTAATATCAATTGCATGAAATAATAATGTAACCTAATTCGAATGTAATTTACAGTGTGTTTTACTTGTACGAACCTCAGATTTCTAGTTTGTTTCATCAAGAAGTAGGCAAATGTAAGTATGCCAGATGTAATAATTATGCTTATTTTATAGCCAACTTAATACATTACAATAAATCCTTGAATACTTGTAAGCTTTTCAATGGGCCAGTGTCAAATGGCCAATGTCATCAATTTCACCAGAGATATTCGACTTCAGTTGTCGGATTACGAACTTATTTCATGATTAGGAGACCCTGGCAACTGCAATTCATTGGATATAATGCAATCTTCGAAAACGCTGATAGCAAAAACCATCGATCTTTAAGGGACGTGTTTCCCCTATTCCTTCCTATTGGAAGTAAACAAGATGTAACTCTATGCCGTCAAAACATTTTATAATATGTGTAGATAATATTGTATTACACATCCGTGTCCACAATTTTTTAAAGTAACTTCTTATGACATACTTAAAACATCTCTGTCATAAATGTCAAGGTCTCTACTGTCTAAGTCTCCAGACTCATTTTATGAAGTCTATTAAAGGAAATGGTCTGTGTCAATAAACCACTCATAATCCAAATAATTGTGCCCCCGGCAGTAGTTTATTGGACTAGCTCGGATCTGTATCTTGGTAGTCTCGACACCAAAGGATAAAAACACGGCCCCGGTTCCTGGTGGCGGAAGGGGCAGTCAATACTGACTTGGCTTCGTCCCTCCGAGTAGGCTGGTACGGCGGCCAGTTCTTCGACTTCAAGCTCTACGCCCTGCGTGATGCGTTGAGCCTAGCAACCCTTGCCTGATATCGCGAGTAGTAAATGGGTCAGTCTTGTTCTGCGAACTTAAATGGATTGTGGTACAAGTAGTAGTTCATAAACCAGCAACTGGAAGAGAATATCATCACTGCAATTGACAACATCAGCTTTATCAGCTTATTGAGGATGCTCGTAAGTACGAAGTACTGAATTGCCGGGTTCGTGAAGAAAGGAAGCTGTCATGTCTAGTGTTTGCTAAAATGCGATACATTGGGCATCTTTTACTGTCTGCACTGATTACAATTATATTTGCTTACGCTGTGCATTATGGTAAATTTACCCAAGTTAATGATACATCTTATTTTGTGATACGGGATATTCTATCCAAAACCTCATCTAGTATATTGAGTTTCATCGTTTCTAAAGCGCTGGCAAAGCTATCGAAACGCGAAGAAACGTACTTGCAACGACCATTATTATAATGCAGATGCACCACTAACACTCCGAATATTAATGGTACAAGAGTTAAAAAACACTTTGCAGTCTATTAATTTTCTAAGATTAGTGATTTCCTTCTCTTAATGTTCGTACATATTTTTTTAAAAAAATATTCTAGTTGCTGTTTTATTTATAAAAGCAAATAAATAGTTCAAGAGTAACGGAATTCACATTTCGTGTACTTTCAATTTTGTAATGTTTGCAGATAATTTTATGAAGGATACACTTCTGCTGCATGGCGATAAAAATGCCTTATTACGTAGCTTTTAATATTACGAAGTAGGTAGTTTATCCTATACCTCAAGTGAACAATAACTTCGCGTATACCATTTAAAGGGGGGACATTGTTTACTGCTGATCTCTCTACATTAAGTGATAGAAACTGCATTTAATTCCATAACGTTTATTTGTCAAGGATGTTCAAACAGATTTGTCTGACGCTTCTATTAATGCTGAGACATTATATTTTCTCCTAAACTAAGTTATTGATAGATGTAAATGACACTTAAATTATTTAGCTTTTATCATAGGTTTGTTATCGAGAATATGCTAAATATATAGAGAGAACAATCAAACAGCTCGAACTGCTATAAAGTATATTTCCTTCTAGAACTGTTTTCCACTTCATTTTTTTAGTGTAACTGGGCTGGTTTTAAGCAGTTCGTTTGGAGAAAAGCTGCAGTGCTAGAATTTAATATAATAAATATGTACTATCATTTTATTGTCTCATCCTTTCAATTACTTAGGATTATCATTACTAATAACTTAATAATTGATAATTATGATATGTGAATTCTTCAGTGTACAAATTTTATATTCGAGGTGAAATTTTATCCACATTCCATTTGTATTTCTGTTGTAGTTATGATGGGAATATTGATAAATTATTTTTTTAAAGGGAAAGATATAATTTATCAACTAAAATTCCAAGTGCCACAGCATGCAAATAGCAAGAATTAAGGACTGAATGTATTAAATTTAGAATTGGAAAAAGTAAAATATGCAAAGATAAAAGAATTTTATCTCGCGATGGTGTTAAAGTATTTGATCATTTTCTTTCATATTTGTGAACAACTTATTGCTTAAAATCAGTTAAAAGTTTTATAATTTAAGCTGAAAATAACCCGTATAACTTGAAAATATTGTCATCATTATTATCTCTAGTTAAGAGGTTACTACTATTATGAGGCATATTGCATATAATGTGTGCCATCATGATATATTGAACGTGACAGTAAATGCAATTTTAGATGAGTTTGGTGTTTATATATTTAGATTTAAATCATGATAACACTCATTATACATATATTATGTATCATTAATATAATACATAAATCCTTCATTATGATCATACGTATCATTGTCTATAATATAAATTATACAGATTTAAATATAAAAATATACGTAACCATAATATTTTTCCACCTTTTCGAGTGTTAGCAAAAATACAAAACTCAAGCATGAGAAATAAGTAAGAAGATCATAAATCCTTAGGAACCTTTATATTTCAAACAAGGCTGCACAAATTGCTTAAAGTTACATTTTCTGGATGGAAGAAAGAGAATGTACTTGAAAATACAGTGTCTCACATTTCTTTTCCGACACTTGTGTTTTTGAATTTTATTTGCAAATATCAGTTACTGGATATTAGTGGAATGATTTTTGTCGCAGGTACTATCGATAATCTTTTCTAGCACCTGCTTGTTTTGGAAAATGTTATGCAAAACATTTTTGATATTAAAAAAAGTGTTTATTCAAAACGTTCCGAAAATGAACTCACATAAGTATTCCGACACTTTGAACAAACGGATTACATTTAATAAAACATCAAAATAACGGGATAATCAATATTTCAATGGATATCCTTTAGTTAATATTATATTTTTCATATACTTTGTCATGAATTAACCTAATTTTCTCATGTAAGAATTATATTCCATAACCGCTGCTTTAGTAGAGCTTTCGGGAAAAAAAGTTGTTTCTTTATTTTTTATTCCAGCTCACTGCACGCATGTTCGGTGGGATATAAGTCCGGAGGATAGGATAATTTTGATAACTTCTTCACAGCTGTATAATAACTGGAAGCGAACATTTACGAACATATTTTAGGTCGCCATTCTGGTAGAACTTGTATGCAATTTTCTTGCGGATGCTTTCAGGTTTTCATTAAGAATACTATGATCCATATTATTTTCTATAAAATGTAAATTCCCTATTCCAGAGGCAGCGGAACTCTTCCAAAACATTATGTTGTCACTCTCATGCGTAATATTAGGTCCTTGGTATTTTTTAATTCAATTCTTCATTTGGCTTTCGCCCCACAGTAATTCGTCCATTTTGACCCAAGTATATTAAGCTTTGACCGTCTGGAAATATAGCATTGATCCAATACGATAAATCTTTACTTAGCATATTTTCCTTGTGTTCTCGTTGATGAAGAATTTCTTTCCTGCTGATCGTCCATTGTATCCATGTGCGCTAATGACTCTTTTAACAGTATCAGGGTTAACTTTTATTGCAAAACATTCTTCTAAATAAGATGCAAATTTTGTGGCAATAAATTTTCGATATTGTTTGGTTTTTTGTTAGGATAAATCTCCGATTTCTTTGGTGTCAGTTTGAAATGTGGTCCAGATATCAGTGCATTTGAGCAGTACCGTGCCATTTCCATTGATTTATAATATCAAATTCCATCGCTTTATATGCAGTACATTTTTGAATATTTCGGATATTTTTACCATATCAAAAACGATTAATAATTAAGTTTATAACAGAATTTGTCGTTAACGTGTAGCGTCTTGCTATACTTGCTTTTTTATAAGCAATTGCTAGTATGTTTTGCTGAACAAGTAATAGCTTCGAAATGCAGACTATAATTCTTAAGACGCAATTTCATTTAAAATAAAAAAGTTATGAAAACACAGATCGTCTACCGAAATATTTCAGCATAACTTTCGAGTGTCCGAATTATTATGTGTGTTACTGATTAACACTATTCAATAAAATTAAGATTAATTACAAAATTAATAATAAATTTACAAAATTAAATATAAATTTAGATTTAGATTTATTACAAAAAGTGTTTTGATGATATTTATCTTGTAACAAGGAAGGCTTAAAAAACAAGAAAAATAATATAGTAGGAAAGAAAAACTGAATTACGTTTTTCTATGTATAGTAAAAGACCAATGCAAATAAATTTAAAAATTACAAGTGTTCGAAAACAAATGTGAACAATTGTATGTTGTTAAATACATGTACAAAAAAGTTCACCGTATTTTAAAATTTACATTCTTTTTCCTCCTTCGAAATTATTTCGAAAGAAAAAAAGGGATTACAAGAAGTTTAAAATGGACGCCTAACAAAGCCAAAACTATGTGTAGTTCATTACAGAAGCTCCCATTTCTCGTCGCAGCAGTTACTGAAATTTAAAGGAACATGATTTCTGAACGATTTCTTTGTCCCGAATGTTTGTTTCCTTTTGTCTTGAACACCGAAGTGAAGCAAAATTTTATAGCCTACGAAATAGTTGTTCAACATATCACAAGTTTTATTTGTTGTGCATGGAAGACTTGCACTGGTAACATTCTTTCCTATTCTCAGTATTCCTTTTTGGAATCCGCCAATGCCAAATGTCAAACAAAATTGCTGTAAAGAGAAAATGTGAAAGGATTATGTTATAGAAATTTAAATAATGAAAAATAACACTGAAAATAGCAAAACAAATAACAAGCAAAATAGAACGAGTTATTTAGACAATTATATACATGCCAAGTGAAAAGTATTTCTGCATTTATTTTTTAAATATTTAATATTCGAACAGACTTTCCCCTAAAAATATGGATTTTCCCATGTATAACGTAAATACGAGCAAGTTCTGTTCGAAAATTCCTCCACGAAGACATCTATCTTCAAAGGCTGATTGATAACCCTCGCATGCTTTGCCAAAATCTAAATGCTCTTTTATCCACACATCAATGAGCAAGAGCAGATTTTTTTTAAGTCGTTTATTATTTGTCTCTAGGATCATAATATTCGATTTCTAGAGTTTTTTAGTCAAAACATTATTAAAATAATATCGCCCTCCCACCAAAGGGTTAAATATTAAGACTTCTGAAAACCCCTCCTCATATTCGTAAAAGTCGACTGTCTCTCAGTCCACTTTATGTCGAGTTTGCGGGATCCTTCTGTACTTCCAAACAACATACGCCCATTCTACTTGCCTTCATAATCTTCCTCAGGTAGAGCAATCTTGATTTAAAAAAAAATATTGCTTTTATACTATTTTTTGTTTTTAATAATATCCTTTGCAGCTTAAGCATAGGAATGTTTCGACTGGATGTTTCTCTCTTTTTACTTCCTTGTACGAAGTAAAAAGGAAGTATTGTAATCGCGAAAAGTTTCAGGCAGCATATTTCAACGAAAATATCCATTTTGACCGCTATCGAATGCAATTTAAGGATGTTTTTTTGCGTGATATCTGTACGTAAGGACAGAATAAAATACTCTTTTCCTTCAAAAAAATTATAAAACTGATTTAAAATGAATTCAGAAGAGAATTTTTCGTGGCGTCTGTACGAACGTATGTACGTATCTCGCATAACTCAAAAACGAGTAGCCTCAGAACGTTGAAATTTTATATACAGGACTGCTATAACATGTAAATGTGCATCTCGTATTTTGGTTGCAATCGGCCGCACCAAACGTATATAAATATATTTATATATATATCCATTCTGTTACCCGGCTCAGTGATCCCAGTTTCTTTACTCGTATATGTTTGTAAATTGTACATTTTTTGCTTTAAAAATGATTGAATTATGTTGTTTTTATCTTCCGGTTAAGGATTTTATGCCTTTAGTAAATCTGTATGCAATATTTTTAGAATTATCAACAATTTTAAAGTTGTTTAAGGGCCGCTAAGCCTTTTTTTATGGCGGCCATTGATTGTTTACATTTGAAACAGCAGCCTAGTGGATTTGTTGCCAGTCTAGAGAAACTTAGCTTCGCAACAACAAAGATAACGCCTTTATTGCCAATTAAATCATACTTAATCCTTTCTGGAATTTTTTCGAGGAAATAAGTGTTTAAGATTTACTTCGTAATTTTTAATATAGATATTTTGAGTTTTTATGTATTTTTGCCTTCTCGCAAAGTGAGAACTGAATTAATTGAATGAGAAATACTGAATCGTCCGTGAAAAACTGTTTCTTTTTTGTTTTGTTTGCTTAATTTCTTTTATATATCATTCTAGCTTTAATATAGTATTTGAATAGAACATGTGGCAACGATTAGATAATTCTATTCTTTAAATACTATACATTTGGTGCATTCTGAGTAATAATATGAACGAAATATAATACTGTTAAGTGAATCTAGCGTCAGAGTGTCGCTATGGTAAACAAATACTAGAGTGAATTTTAAAGAATGCATTTATCCTATTGTGGTTTATGCACTGTCGGCGAAGTAGATGTAATTCAATCCAATAAGTTTAAATGAAATGCAAAAAAAATGCATATAATTTAATATTCCGTACAAGGAAGTCATGTGGTGTACACATCAGATTTTTTAATATAGCTTGAGGAACAGAAAAATTATGGCTCATTTGAAAAGTGAAATAATTCTATGTTCGGAAGCTTTTATATTTTGGCAGTTAACCATACCTATAACTCTCGCAAGGAGCTCCAGAACATTTTCTCAGCACTTTAGGAGCAGGACGGGGACAAAAAATGTCTTGCACCATGGAGTAAATATTTTGTGAAACTTGTTGGACACAAACAACATCTCTTCTCTGTATACCTTGCCCGCAAGTTACAGAACAGGATTCCCAAGATCCTTCTTGCCACCTAAAGCAAAAGAATCACAAAATTATATAGAGGAAGTGGGTAAACAACCACAATACATTTAACAAATCTTATTTATAAGAATTGAAAAAGTTACAGATAATAGAACTTGGAAAGAACAATAACCTCTTTTAATAATTTCGTAGTTACAAATACTCGTTTGTTACCAATGAAGACAGAGTTGACCAAAAGAGGACAAGAGTTTATCCCAACCGGAATGCAATATTTACAATGGAATTCATTTTTAGCAAAACACTTAGAGAGGATGATGGTTGCATCACTCACATCCTAATCAGCCCACCTTTCTCAGAGTATATGCTTGTGCAAGAGCATTAATTAATAAACAAAAATTGAGCAAAAATGATAAGAATGTTGAATTTTTTAGTAATCACCATAGCAACGGAGCGAATATTCGATTTTGTTGTAGTAAAATCATAATATGCTTCCAATACCTAATACGGATAAGACATGCGAATCCCCAAATTTTGAAAGATTTGAGATTGGGAAAAAAGCTTTTTTCTTCATCGAATCTTTTGACAATTAACCTAAAACACCGTTACCCGTTTCAATTCAGAACTTCGGAAATATTAGTTTTATTGGCTTACAACAAAAGCGTTGATATGTTGTTGCAATTTCGATGGACATGGATTACGAATCCTCGTGATGGTCTTGAATGCCACATTCTTAATTTTCCAGATAGAATAAATCGTGTAATATTTAATGTTATCTGAATAAATTCTTCAAACATTCCTCTCTCTTTCAGTTTGCTTAGACAGGTTTAGAAAGATTTGAAAAAAAAATCTGATATGTACACCACATGACTTCCTTCTATTGGAATATTAAATATACGCATTTTTTTTGCATTTCATTTAAACTTATTGGATTGAATTAAATCGCCGACAGCGATAAACCACAATAGAATAAATGCATTCTTTAAAATTCACTCTAGTTTTGTTTACCTAGCGACACTCTGGCGCTAGATTCACTGACAGTATTAATAATTATATAACAGTTAACTTATGTAATAATTATATAACGGAAACTAGTTAACTGTTATAATCCAATAATATATAACAGTTAACGTATATATTTCGTTCATATTATAACTCAGAGTGGATATATATATAAATATTTTATAGTTTGGTGGCGGCCGATTGCAAATACGAGGTGCACATCTACATGTTATGCAGTCCTATATAAAATTTCAACGTTCTGAGGCTACTCGTTTTGAGTTATGCGAGATACGTACGTACGCACGCCGTACGTACATACGTTCGTACAGACGCCCACGAAGAATTCTTTTGAGAATTAATTTTAAAGCATTTTATAATTTTGTGAAGGAAAAGAGTATTTTATTCTGTCCTTACTGCAGATATCACGCAAAAACATAAATGCATTCGATAGCGGTCAAAATGGATATTTTCGTTGAAATAGGCTGCCTGAAACTTTTCGCGATTACAATACTTTCCTTTTTACTTCGTACAAGGAAGTAAAAAACTGAACTTTTATTTAAATAGATTATTTTATTAAATTGCATTCAGAAAATGAATCTCAATTTGCAGAAATATTAATTATGTACATCATTTTAAAAATTTCATTTGTATCTTTTCAAAAATCGGCGTATATTTTTAAAAAATATTTTGAAAGTTTTTTTCTCTTTGAATACGGATTTCAATTTAATTAAAAACTTTAACGTTAAAAGTTTCTCTTTTGTATTCTTAGGCATCCGAGAAATTCGAAATTTAAAAGAGTACAGAGATTAAAGAATCTTCTAAGATTCGAATTCAGATTGGAAAAAATTTAGGATTCTTCTCATTTCTAATATTTAACTTACTTATTATAATAAATTTTCTAAATTTATTCAGTGGTGTGTAATTAAACGTAAAAAATGGTGGAAGGTAAGTACACAGTTCGACGTCTGCAAGTGTGTTTTGCTTGCGGGAAATTTTCCCACATTTCCGACAGGGATAAATGGGACACAGGGATAAATGACATCACGTCACTTCAAAACATATTCTAAAGGCATATATCTTCTAGTAGAACAGATCTAGTAACATATATCTTCTAGTACACATCTTAGTGAACGTTTTATTTTATTACCATCATCACCACCATTTTTGAATATTTTGCGATACTATCACTTGACGGAGCTTTATCCTCCGAAAACCTCTCGGACGAAAATCTTGCAGAGAAAACAACGCAAAGCGAAAACGTCGCTGTACAAAATACCGTGGGTGAAAAGTTCCTACCTTTTAATTTCCTACCTCCATGTTCACCATCCAAGCAGAAAACATTGTATTTCTAAAACATCGTGGTACAAAATATCGTCGTCGAAAATAAAGCGGTTCATAAATTTTTCGCAGTTAAAAACATCGTCGTTGAAACTAGCGTGCTAATAACAAAGTAGCTATAAATCATTGCAGACATGCCTTTTTCACGCTTTAAAAATTAAATACATATTCGCATAATGATTTGTGAGCTGAAGAAGGAATGAGAAATATTTTTACTTTTATATTTCGCATTTTTCATAGCTAATAAACTTTAGCTGAAAAAATAGGCAGTAAACCGAAGCATTAAAAAAGCTGAAAATTGTATAACTATTTGAAATTATGAATAGTATTTGGCTAGCATGTTTCGTCATAAGTAACAAGTCTAAACGATTAACTTCCCCTTGTACATGAAAATATTAATATACTCTAAAAAGACAAGTACACTGAAACAAAAGAAGTTTTAATTTTCATTAAAAGAATTGAAGATTAAAAGTGAAAGAAAATAATTTTACGCTTTAATTAATTAAACAATTTTAATAGAGGTAACCTCATGCAGATACTCATCTTTTTTTTCTAAGCTTTTTTTGACTATATTTTTCATAAAAAATGATCAGTAAAATTTCATAAAAGAGATTAATCAATTAATGATCTTTGTTAAATAATAATTTAAGTTTAAAATCTATTAACTGCTATAAGTTGCAATAACCTTCTGCTCATTTTGAGTTTTTAAATGCCTGAATTTCCTATTTTAAGTTAATCAGAAAAAAAAAGTTGTAAGTTTACTAGCATCTGAAATCACAGCAAAAATTTAATATTATTTAAAGCATCGTATAAGATAAAGATTTTGGGGAAAAAAAAAAAAAAAAAAAAAAAAAAGTTTCAGATTTTAAATTACGTCCAAAGGGGCGTTTTTTTTTAACATTTTGTGCGCTACTTTATTTATTAAATATCATTTGTTCTGCACTTAAACCATAAAATCCAGTGCAATAGCAATGTCGCAAAATAATTTTAAAAGCCTATCTTTAGAATTTCTGATACAGAGTTTCGCGCGCTGGAGATAAAAGTTTTTTCCCCCGTAATGTTCCATTGCTCGCTTTGAAATTTGAAATCCTTGATTTGTTAATCAAAATTCGTCAAGTTTAAAAAATAGGAAATCGATCATCAAACAACCAATTTAATTTGTCTTCCACATGCCCATATTCGTTGGAGGATTACGTTATTCAAAATTTCGGACTCTAGACCGTTGTTTTATCACAATACGAGAAAGATACATACATTTATGCAGATTTTCATTATTTAATTTTTCAATATAAGCGGCACTCTAACATTTTGTGGCACATTTTGAAAGTGCCCGAATTTATAGTGTTTGCAAATGCAAAGAAAACATAGTCCTTCGGGAACAAAGCTCTTTAGACTAAAAAAAAAATATATAACAACAAAAAAAAAAAGATAAAAAAAAATTCTATGTTGTGAACGAACCTGAGTTAGCGTATTTTCCGTATGAGTAACCGTAAAAACTATGTTCGAGTATAGAAGATGGTGAAATAGTGGTACAGGAAATCTCAACTATTGCCTTGAAATTCTTCCACATTTTGCAAAAAAAGTTCAGGAATTTTAAATATTAAATCGATTTTTTTACAATCAGAGCGTAAGGAGCACACCAGACGAGTAGTAACTTGCAGATAATCTTACCCAACTTACCACTGATCTGCTTATGATGTATTCACAGATGCTCATGTGTGAATAACAGTGTAAGCCATGTTCCATCAAATGCCAGATATGTATTATTGGTTTATTTTTACCTAACAAGTAATGTTCAGCATAATAAATGAAGCTGCTACTTACCTTCCTAAGCAGGGTTGAGAATTGCAAGGCCATATCCCAGTTCGCCCAGGTTTATTAAGATTAGCACAAAATCCATCGTCTACCACAGTAGTTCCAGTTTGACAAAGCACAGTAATATTTTTAAAACCTAAGGGAAAATGTGTTTTTATGAATTTAAATTAAATCATCGGCCGGGGAAAAGTCATAACAAAAATAAGTCATGAGACTAAAAATTAAAATAATACCATAACGTTGTGCAAATAATATTTGCTGTATAATCAAACACAATGTTTGCTGTATAATCAAACACAAACCCGATATAGACAGCTTGGAGCTCTAGGCGTAAAGATCGATCCGCCAGTCAATGCTCATTTTCCTAGTTCATGTGTTAGAAAAATAAAACAGGGTTGTATAGAATTGTATGATTACAGTATTTTAAGACCCAATAAAATTTTATTCAAGCATTAAGTTTGAATATTATTTTTATATTGGTTTTAAGTCCCTTGCTATTCGTTGTAGCAGATTTTTTCAGTTTCTGGTCTACCCTTTTGCAAGGTTCGCTTGAAATTCTGGCAAACTGTTAGGCGTCTGTACTTTTATATATGATATATATTGCTGGCATGTACGTCTATAGTAGGGTAAGTTTAATTTTTTCAATAGTTTCATTGCTTTCGTTGTAACATACTTTCCCCCCTTTTTATGCAAGATTCGCTCCAGAATTTACAATTTTATTTTTTCAATTGGCAGAATTTTTTATTTTGCAAGAAAGTTGGTTCTTTCCCTGAACTTAAATAAAATTAGGCACTCTAAAATTAGGATATATTTACTAAGACTGTACTATTTAATTCAAAATTTTGAAATTAAATTAATTGTTAAATTCTGTAAACAGAATTTATTTTTATTTCTATATTGTATTTGGTTCATCTTTAGCCTTTTTAGGCTTTTTTTAGATATTTTTTTATCGCAATTGTACGTAATTGTTTGTTACTATATGAGTGCGAAGACATGTAGGCAAAAGAATTGAATTTTATGAGACTTTAATAAAATTCTGTTTTAAAAGAAAGTTGGATTAACTTAAAGCGGTTTAAAGTCTCAGGGAATTCAATGGAACGAAACACATTTTTCGTCATTCATTTATCAACTTGGTTTAAGGCTTCAAAACACTTTTCCATCGACAAGCTCTGTTTGAAGCGTTAAACAAAGGAGATTAAAAATTTTTATTTTTTATTTTTTGGGTTTTAATATGTACAAATTTCCCGTTTTTTTAATATTTTTTCCTCCTTGAAGTGAAAATTTTTTATTACAATTTTGTTTTTTCTTTAATCTATGTTTTACCAGTTTATATTGTAACACGGAGAAAATAGTATTACCCTTCAAATATTTAATACGGCATTTTATTCATTTTCGTTAAGATTTTTGAGAATTTGATTTACTATATATAAAATATATTTTCGTAGATTGTTCAATATATTATCTGCTTTGAAAAAAGTAGTACAAATTCTATCGAAATGAATTTACTCATTAACATATTTAAAATGGAATTATTGAAAAAGTACAATGAAAATGCAACCAACAAACTAAGTAATTATCCTCAATATATATGTGATGTACCAGCTTTAGTCGTAGCTTAAATACAACGATAAGTTAAAAAAAAAACAGATCCATTTATTATTATTTAGGAAATACGTTACAAATCAGATATCCCGATAAATAAAAGAATACAATAACTTTTGTATGAGTTTCTGCATCGTGACATTAAGAAAAAGCCCCCAATATTCTTTTGCGAGTCCTTTTTAGCCTCTGGAAAGGCGGAGTCCAAAAATGCTTCAGCCTCGAAGCCACCATTCGCTTAAATTTTCCATACATTTATAAGTACTGAGAAAAGGCGGAAAACAACTTGACTACGGGATGTGGATTTAACTCCAGTACTTTCAAATAAGAGAACGTCGCCATTAAAAATGAAAAGAACATACAGTTAGAATTTTAAGTGTATTGACTATGGAATTTTATTATTACAAATATATATGTAATGAAAAAGACTTTGCAGTGTTGGTGGCGTAGAATGTTGATCCATATTGAAAAGCAAACTTGGCAGCCAAGGAAGATTAAAAATTTATCTTTATTTCAATTGCCATTTGCGACCAAAATTCACTTGGCACTCTAATCTTGCCTATTCCAAAACATTTACATTTTTGATACATTGAGCAAGTAAATCAGCATGCCAGCGTCTTAACGGCAAGAGAGCTAGAAGTAAAAGTGCGCATTTATCCAGTATGGAAGCTCATCAAGATAAAGTTTCGAATATCGAAATTTTGAGTTCAAGTTCCGAATTAGCTCTGTCATCAACGTTATGCAGTTCATATGAATGGATTGATGTAGAACTGACGCAGTCCAGAAAAGGGATTGCTAGTTTTAGAACTGAGAGCGGGAAGTAAAGAACAATTGCTAAATTAAATTCTTAGCTTATTTCATCTTAAATTATAAAGCTTATTTCATCTTAAATATACATGTACACAGTTTTCATGAAAACTCCTTACATGGCATTTATATTCGTCAACCTTCATCCTAGATGTATACTTTCAGATATAAATATTTGAAATGACGCAAATATACCAGATTTGGGGGTTTTTAGCATAAAAAAATCACTTATATAAAAATAACCAATTTAACTTTTAATACGTTCCCCCGGTTAATATATTTATCTTATAGAAAATTTCAAACTCATTATAAAAAATAATGCAAAATGGTGTGATTCCTGAATAAAAAATACCAATTTAGGAAAAGGCTTGTCATATTAACAGATTAAGTGGTGAGTATATTTGTCCAGATTGTCGTGAAACGTATTGATTGCAATAGTTCACCCCCCAAAGAGATGAATTTTACAGAATTCGTGTTCTAGAAAACAGTGACAGGCTTCAGTATTAGCACACAGCCAACTCATAGCGTTATATGCACAAACTAAAAATATTTCTAGTAATTATAATTTTTGCTTAAATGAATTTTTTGTACGATTGTTATTTTAAAGTAGTACATGATTATAACTTCGCGAAAATAGTAATAACGAATTTTTAACATTTGAAAACTTAAAATTTAATTGTTAAAAATTCTTTCAGTGAACCCAGTCGTACTGAAATAATGAAAATTTTTACTTCAGAAAAACCTAATGAGAATTACCATAATCTTCGTAACTTATAGAAAATATGTAAAGTAGTAACACATTTCGCAGTATTTAGCTTCTGCAGATAACGATAAGTACCACTATAATGTTCCAGAAAATTCACTTTTTTTTGTGGTCATCCTTACAGTAATAAAAATTAGCTTTTAAATGTACAAGAATGTTCTTAATAATACGGTTTAGCTTATGCTTAGAACTAGCTAACTAGTATCTACAAATCAATTAGATAATATTTTTTAATTATGTAAATTACCTCCTCCACAAGCTGCGCTGCATTCAGACATTTCCACAACCCATCCATAAATCGGCCGCGGTATATTCTTCCACAGCTTTTTGCCAGTATATAATATTTTAGTTGAAAAAGGCATGTGCCACTTTTTGTAAGCAGAGAGGTGATTCGTGGAAACACCGTTCATCACGTGATTGATGCCTGATGTATCTCGCCTCCTGATGCGACTTAAATATCGACGGATATCATACATCTGTGTAGTTCCTGTGGGAAGAAAGAAAAACATATTTTACAACTTTAGAAGAATATCGAATATCACTTTATGAATAAAGGTAAAAATTGTTTCTCAGAACTATTCTCGTATGAATACTCCAAAAATATATGACAGAAAACAGTATGTACAAAAGAAAAAAAAAATCTAAAAGCTTTCCGATTTTGTATGACTCCCAAACGGGCGCTTTTTTCATTTACAGACACATGCACGTTTCGAGAGCGTTTGGGCCAACGCCACTTTGGGATGAAAATATTTAAAAACACCATATCTGGAATTTCCGATAGGGAGTCTCGTGCGCTGGAGATAAAAATGTTTTATTCCCTACCAGTGTTGCCACTACTCGCTTTGAAATCGTTGAATTTTTTAATCAAAAATGCATTAAAGTTTTACAAAGTATGATATAGACAATAAAACAAATTCTAAATTCTAAATTCGGGCTTCCAGGTGCTCAGATTCGGGTGGAGGGCTACGCTATTTAAAATTTGATGGCTTTACGTACCGTTATTTTTTTCACAATGCGAGAAACATGTATATGTTCATGTAGATGCTTTATTATTTAATTTCTTTAAATATAATAGAGGGCGATAATATTTGCTGGCAACAATTTGAAAACTGATTCAGACTCTTACAGTGGTTCAACGTAAAATCTGTTTTTGAGACTAACAGACCTTCTTGGCTAACTCCATTTAGCCTAAAAATTTCATAAATACTTTAAAGCTGAAGTTCTCTTAGATAGCTTCTGTGTAAATTTCATAATATAGTATTGTAATAAAAGTAATTTACAAACACAAAATTTTGAACTAAATTTACAATAAAGACGTTTAGTCCAATGAAGAAAATAGTAAATTATGCACTGCCACGGCAGAATGTCTTGAAGGATAGTTCTAACTTTCACTCATGCCAATCCTAGAGTTTAATTTAATTTTATTTCATTTTTAAAAATTCTCAATAAATTATATTTTGAATCTTGCAAAAATATTCATGCAAATATCTTTTCATTTTTATGCAAGCACATTTCAGGTATAATTCAATTATTTTACGTTAGTTCTTAATGTTTTCAGAGTAATCGATGACAAAAACACAACGAAAAGTTAGCTGCGAACAGGGAAAGTTGAGGCTTTGGAATTTCAGAAAATTTCCTAAAAAAAGGATAAACTCACAGAAAGAAAAATATTTAATGAATTTCTAAAAAGTCAAAGATGCGTGGAGTCATTAGGTTATTTTTTGAAGCAGAAGAGGTGGAAAATGTGCAATGCTCTAGCCTGGACTCGAACCTGGACCTCTTGAATACGTGCCAAGTATGCTAACGTTACACCAAGAAAGCATACGGAAAGAAACTAGAAAATACCTTATACAGTCAAAAGTCTTTAATCCGGACTCGTCGGGATTCCGGATTATCGGTTTTTCCGGATTATAGATCATCAATTTAAATCTGGTAAGATGGCATGCAGAAATTTCTAAAATTAAAATATGATACCGTAATTTATGAAAATAAACAGCAATTTGATATAAAAGGTTCAAAATTTAAAAAAAAAACGTCTGTTTACTTTAAAAATGTCTTTCAACGCGCGCAATGCGTAAAGCATACATTACGACATAGTTGAAATTAGAAAAATTGAACCAGAAAGACTTTTGACTGTATATTACAGTCGCCAAATCTTGGTGGCCGGACGAACATCGTCACCCTTTATTTATGCGCCACTTAATATCTAGCAAATTAGTGACTCTTAGAGATAGAAAGACGAACTATGTAGCGACTTATCGCAGAGTTCTGATGAATGATATGTCCAAAGATGGGTTGAATTTATCCATTATTTCAACTCATGTAAATGAACAGACGGAAAATTCTCTGGCTTACAATAAGCCTTCATTTGGGATTGAACCTCATGAAGAAAAAAGAAATTATCTAATGACTAGATAAATTAAAACAAACGAAGCGCACAGTATTAACTACAGAGTTAGTCTTAAGATCAAAAGCCCAACAGCGAGCCGAGCGGTTAAGACGCTGAACACTGGTAGTTCGGTCCGAGGTTCGAATCCCGCGAAAGGCTGGCTGCATGGCGTTTTTGGTTTTCCCCATGTGTAACGTGTATACGAGCCAGTTTCCCTTAGAAAGTCCTCCACGAAAGGCATCCCTCCCTTTAGGCAGATAGCCCTCGTGTGCTTTGCCATAATTAAATACACCACACACACCACCTTAAGATCACCGGCGAAATTTAGCAGACACGTAACAATACTGCCGAACAGCAGTAAGAGTATACTAGCAGCAACAACGTGGCCAGAAGGTAGACACGCATTTCTAAGCTTTTCTAATGAAGCGACCTAGACTTCAGCTTAAACACTTGTTTCTACCTCATTTACATAAAATGTAATCCTGAAAACTCATTCTGGCAGGGAATCGTAGGTTGGAAACGAGAAAGTAAAGGAGAGGCTTGTTCAAAAGTAAAAACTAACTATTAGATAATTAAAATAACCCCCTACAGATGAAGTAATAGCAACATATTATTAAACCCACCGTCATTAGCTCATCTTAAAATCATAATCGTTTGATCTAATTCTTTATTTGATTGCATAAAAGCGAAGAATTTTCATACCCCACCAGATTGCCAGTTTCATAAAATTTCATAAAGATGTCAGCAACTTTATGCAAATCTACGACTGTTTGCCAAGACCTTCATATGAGCGTCCCACACCTTGAAGAAAGTTGCTTTCTTCATGACGTAAACTTGACTTCATAAGAGTTCTTCCTTTGTGCCTTTATGTCAAAGCCCTCTTGGGTCTTGGCGAACAATTATCAGCTTTCTTAAAGGTACTGACACCCTTATGCAAGTTAGCAGCAATGGTTAGAGCAACCTATTCCGTCTGCGATTGCAATTCTAATATTTTTAATAATTAACAAAAAAGCATTTGAATTTTTTTTTTATTTCTGTAATTTACGTATTGAAAATTGTTTTATTGTACAGTAATAGAACCGTCATTCTGCGGGTTTAGGACTTTGCTTCAAAACATATGACATTATTTATTATTGATTTATCTATTAGATCCTAACTAGTGCTACAAAATTAGCAGAGGACGATTAGATATTTTATCAGCTAATTCTTGTAACAACTAATTCTTTTTGGTAAACTCTTCGTCAACGTTCTCAGTGATATGCTATATTCATCAACTGTTCAAAAAATTAGTCTTATTACATAGTACTTGCATGAATATTTTGCTTATTCAGAAGGTAATTTATTGGAAATTTAAAAATAACTCTGAGGTTGCAATATGTGGAATTTAAAACTATCCCTTAATGTCAATCAGCCATAGTAGTGTACTATTTACTACCTTCATAATTAGCTCAACAATTTTCATTGTGCTTCGAGTTCATAATTTTCCTTTTTAAAATTAATTTTATTACAATGATATGAAATTTACATAGAAAATATTAATAATCAGTCTTATTAATCCAAGAGGAGTAATGGAATTTGGCGAAAATAGAATACAGTTTAATAAGAATCTATCTAGTTGTTTGCAGAATTCGAGAACTCGACAAGTCTTTTATTAATTATTAAAGACGATTTTTGAGACTCGAAGAATTCAAATCCAGTTTTCTCTACAGTTTTAGTATTTATACTAAATGGTTTTCAGGAGAGGTCGGTCTTTTTCTTGTGTGTGGATTAAGATGATGAGAGGGTGAATTTCCTTTTCCTACCCCTTTCAAAGTGCAATGAAACCACTCTTGGATACCATATCTCGTAATCAACTACTTCTGAAAGATATCATAGTTTCGAACAACAGCGTAAATAAACACAGCAATTCATATTATTTTTCAAAAACAACCACATCTATAGAGGACCAAAAAGAATTACGAACGTGATAGGGTTCACTGTACTGGTAGTTAAGGTTATGTTAAAAATAAATATGAAATTTAAGTGATGAAAAAATTATATGGAACGAAAATTCGATTACAGTAAAATCAAAACGGAAATTCTGAAAATATATAATTTAGACTTGTTTCAAATGACTTTGAAAAGACTACGTGGTTTCGCAACAAACTTAGTGCTTAAGTTTTAAAAGTAAATTGCTTAGTTAAATAAGAAAGAAACCAACTCCAGCGAGAATGCTGAGGAATGCGTACTATACTATATTAGAAGTAATAAAATAATAATAATAATAAAATATCTGATGTGGATACCACATGACTTCCTTCTACGGTCTATTAAATTATACACATCTTTTGCTGCGTTTCATTTAAGCTTATTTATTCGAATTTCATTACAGATACGAGTATATTTCCCATTCAATTTATTCTTCACATCGAGGCAAGGCAAAGATATATAAAAACTGAAAGAACTTACTTTAAAAATTCTAAAATACAGGAGAACCTAAAATAACAATTACAATTAAAAGCAGCTGAAGTGAATTTTTGCAATTAAAAGTGGAGTTTTTATTCAAAAACAAGCAATTCGCCCAGCAGACGAGAAGACAAAATTTTCAGCGCACAGAATTGAAAGTTAACTTTCAATTTTGTAAATATATGGCGGCCTCGTTAAGATTAGCGCCACTTTAACTTTTAAATTGTTGATAACTCTACATGCAAATTAAATGAAGGCATAAAAATCTTAACTTGGACATCAGAACAACGTAATTTAACCACTTTTAAAGTAAAAAATGCACAGTTTGACAACATATAAGAATAAAAGTATTGGGCTTTAAAGTTTAACTGTTTTAAGATACAGTGTCTCACAAAAGTGATGGGACGCTTGTGCTTTACAAAAGGA